AATTGTATATTTTAAAACTGCAATTTATTTTCATTTTTATAAATTGTTTGTAAGTAGTTGTTTTCAGATGTTTCTTTTCCTAGAAAACAGTTTTATTATTTGAGACATTTTTAGAAGCAGATATAGGTGTGAACAAATTCATACATTTTAGTAAATGTCATTACTCAAGGTACACAAGCAAATTAAATTTGAGGATCTATTGAAATTTAGAATAATCAAAAGGCAAGATTAATCAAACACAGATTGATTTGTTCTTTAGACTTTATCAATGTTTTTTTTTTTGGTTATTTAAAGCTTAAACATATTTTGGATTCTAAGAAGAATTTTTTTTTTTGAGTGTATATTGCATAAACAATATTTTTCCCTTTAATGAATACTACATTTTTTGAAGATAACTATTTTTTTTAGTTAAAAGTTCTACTATTTTGGGAGGGGAGATGGATTTATACTTTACCCAAGGGTATTTGCATGTAAGTGAATGTAATGAACCCAACTGGAATTGGAACTTGACTTTCTGATTTTTAATTTACTCTACACATTTCGGACAGATTTGAATGCTAAGAAAGCAAAACTAAAAATAAAGAAGTTGCCCTCTGTACAGGGACTTCAAGCATCACACCTGGATTACAAAACAAATCCCCTGCAACATATATAAAATACAATTTCAAATGTTGCCACTAAAAAAAAAAGTCATGACAAAAAACAAGAAGTGACAATCCACCCCTTTTGCTTTTAAGAATACTGCTCATGATATTATCAGCAGTCTTAGCAAATGGGCAATCTGTCAACATCATCACCAGAAACCTCAGTCAACAGACCCAACACACACACACACATCAACTTCAGGCCTTACCAACTTTCTTCCCTTTCCTCCAAGTTGCTTCCCTTGCCCAAAAAGAGACATTCTGCCTTGATTCTCTGTAATCAGCAATACAAAGAATTGTATCATAACAATTCTTGTCTTCTTCTCACCTCCTTAACCGTACTTGTTGTTTCATTTGTTCTCTTGTGCTACCATAGATGCATTCATAACACTGACATCCAATGAAGCACAGAATATTAAAGGATTAATCCCAACTCTTATTAAGGGTTACACAAAATCAGCTAAATAAAGCCAAACTCAAAGAACAATCCTCTTTTTTCTTTCACCTTGTTACTCAGAAAGAAACCTTTTACCACAAATTCCAGATACTATCATCAAGTTATAAAAGAACAGAGCCAACAACATCAAGAGAAATTACTTTTATGCAAAGAAGCTAGCTGTGGACTGAAAGGGATTTTTTTCTTCAAGAAGGACTGTTGACAAGATACTTTTCCCCCAAAGATAAGTCTGTAGATGTACATTATCTGTAAATACTTTTCTTTATTTCTATTTTGATATTAAATATATTTAAATAGTAAGGTTTGTTGTGTTTCTCTTCAAAAGCTGTTGCTCAGCTTGTTTGTGACATGTGAATGAGCACTAACCCTCCATAAACTTGGGGTAATATCCTGGCAAAATATTGAGAATATAACCACCACAAATTTGGCTAATAGTTCATTTTGGAATATCCAGCTGGTTTCGCATGTATTTGGCATAGATTTGAATTGACTGACAACAACCTGTTTCAAAGTCTCGTATTTATCTGTTTACAGCAGTTAGAAACTCAATTTCCAAATTTATTCAGCAATTGGTTGAAAATTCTCCGTAATATTTCATGATCTATTTTGTAATACATTGCCAAATTTTCTTATATATATATATATATATAATATATATATATATATATATATATATATATATATATATATATATATATATATATATATATATATATATATATATATATATATATATATATATATAATATATATATATATATATATATATATATATAATATTATATTATATATATTATATATATATATAAATAATTTAATTTATATTAGTTATAAACACAAGTCCTTCGAGAAATCATCAATTTTTATTTATTTTTTTGTGGACCTCTAGTTACAGAAAATCTGCTCTGAATTGTAAAATAAAATATGCAATAAAACTAAGGTGTTATTCAATTAGAAAAGCTTTTAATTGCTTTTTATGAGCACTATTGTCTGAAAAAAAACTTTTTTTTACGAATAATGAATTTTTACATTACAAGAATTGTTTTCCTTTTTTTAATATTTTAATTATAATAATTTATAAACTTTTAAAATTCTCTATTTGTAGCAGTTATGATATTGTTATTAATACGTAAAAAAACTATATTAATATTAAATGGAAAAGCGCACGATAATCCAAAGATCCCCAGTATTTAAAAAAGAATTTAGATTTTAGATTTGTGTGTGCGTGTGTGGCTAATAAACATGCCGATTTTTATAAATACGGACGTCCATACACGACTTTATCAGAAAATAAGAGTGATATAACCATAGAAAATTTATTGGTACAGGTAATTTGTAACATTTCTTCAACAAGCGTCTTTGTAAGTTATAAAACGTAAAGCCAAAGTACATAAGATTCAATAAATTATTAGATTACATAGAATATTTTTCTAAATTTTAAAAATTACTAGGTGTTACATTATTAAAGTAATTTTTACAGTTATGTCCACCTTAGAAAAAATTATCAAACATAAGTATGACGAGAAAGTTGTCAACCCTCAAAAACAACCAACTCCGTAATAAAAATGGATTCTACGATATTTTAAACTAAAACTTTTTTTTTTACTTTTAATCTAAAAGTAATATTTGTTTTAAAATTAATTAAACTGTCAGCAAAAATCTTTCTCAAATAGTTTCAGAAAAGAATATTTTTTTTTTAATAAAGTGAAACTTGTGAAACATTTTTGTAGACAGATAATAATATGGATGGCTGATTTTTTTATCAATTTTAACGAAAAAAATATTCGAATCATTTTTAAATTCGGTTTCAAATACAAAAGTATTTTGCTTATTAGGATGCTAGTCCGAATGTTGTCGAAAGTTTATTCTTTTTGTATTCAGACTATATTTGAATGAATAACGATCTAAAAGTTGCAATAAAAAAGAACAACTGAAATAAGATGAAAGAAACACGAAAACAGACTTCTGATTTCTTCCTATGAAAAATATTCAATGTTTAACTATTGGTACAAAAGTCTAAAACACTGAAATAAACCAATGAATATAGTTTTTTTTGTTGTTGTTTTTTTAACAACTGAGCGAGAGGAAATTTTTTTCCAATTTGTGATTCAATGAAATGAAATCAAGAATAATCTGTATTATTTCGTACCCCGTCGATAATTGTTTTGTTGACAAAGTATATTTGTGATTGTAATGTAGTTAAAGAAACTTATTTAAGAGTGGGATGAAACATCTTGACATGCAAAGAGGGTAATTTTTGGGGCTATTGATCTGTGTTTAAAAAACTTTTATTCCGAATATCCATGACTTACAAAAAACTAAAAAGATCATTAAAAACAAAAGTGAAAATAAATTTGTCACAAATCAACGCTACGATCCAAAAGCTTAAATTTAGCTACTACTAAATAACCGTAATAAAGACTTTAGAGAAAAAAACATAAAAGTTATAAACATCCTTTAATTTCGTAGTTTTAAGGACAAAAACTTGAAAATTGAAACTGAAAGAAAAGGAAGGGAAACCTGTTAAAAAACCTTGTTTAGGGTAAAGAAATTAAGGAAAAGCTAAAAATATATATTTCAAGTCATCTACAATCAAGACAATTAAGGAAGACTACGACAATAAAAAAGAATTTTTAAAAAAAGCCTAGCAAAAAGAAATTATCATTCGTTTTTTAAAAAAAAAAAGTTTTGAAAATAAAGATGGAAATATTGTTTGTTCCTTGCGCAAGAAGAAGTAGTTATTTCTGAAATTAAACCATTTTTAAGGAATTTATAAAACTATATTAAACAATAACAAAACAGGTTCGCATTTATTTATTTACTCACGTAATAAAAGGAATTGGTGTCCAAACTATACAATAAGGAAAACGACTTTTTTCAATGTCCATTTGAACACTTGTCCGCTTGCTACAACCGCCAGGCATTGCCATGTCAACACCACAATCCTCAGGTGGTGAAGAATTAGCAGGAAATGCCGATTTGATGGCAGTTTTCTCACCTGGACTAAGAGATGTGTCCGCCATAGCAGGGACAACAAATTCTTAGGCACAGGTGATAAGTCACTAATTACGGTTAACACCGGAATGGAAGAAAAGAAACGAAAATTATTGTTTTATTTATTTATCAGTATTAGGTATTTATTTACTTGTCCTTCTATAGATATGGAATTAAAAAAAAAAAACCTTAAAAGTGGAAGCCTCACGCGTACATCGTATGGATAACAAGAATTAAAAATTGCTCGGCACACTGTCTTCTTAGGATGCTTAAAGCATTGTTCGAGGAATACACTCTAATTTTAGTGTATTGTACTGTCAGTGCGACAGGTCAAGCTTATGATATTCCCGGCTACAGGTAATCTGGTGGGTGGGGACGTTCTGGTATTAGGATACCAATATTATTTAAAATTATTTTCACGCTGTATGTTCGTTTTGTTTGTCTCTTCCATTCCACTTTTTGGATAATTTGTTTGTAGGTGTAACTTCTCAATTGTCCATGTGAAATTTTGTCCAATAGCGAAAAAATGTTTTTGCTTTTGTTTTCTAAAAGCTTAACCTTAGCTAATAATTTTTTCAAGTTTAAAGCATGTTAAATAGACTTTTTTCTTTCTTTTTTTTTTTTTAAAAAAAAAGAATTTATTTTCAGACGTTTTTGACGAAATAAAATTTTAGAAAAAGTTTGATTAACTTGTACCTCTCTGTGTGATGTACTTACGTAATTTTTTTAAGATCATAAAAGATGTAGCATAAATTAATTTTTATAATTAAAAAAGATTTAAAATGATTTGTGTGACTTTTCAGTCACACAAATTATTTTAAATCTTTAAAAAAAATATTAGAAAAAATATACGAAACTAAAGTTAGAAATTGCTGACTTCGGCATTCACTGCGCGTAGTTGTAAAATGGTGGAAGGTGACAATAAGGTACGATTACGACGTATTAATATTGTCAACGGGCAAGGCGTCACATGTTTTCCTATCATGATGTAAGTATGAGTATACAGTATTTTACAAGCATCGAAAAAATATAATAACTGAAGTTTACTCTTTTTCCATATACGCACTTAACATATGTTTGATATTCCTCTTTGTTGTTTGTCAACTCGTAACAAAATGATTTTTTTTCTTTCTCCGAAATTTAAAATACAAACGGAAAAAAATTGTAATCTACAAAAAATTACGTTTTTTCTTTCATGTGTTTAATGTTGTCACAAGAATATTTTTCTGAAAATATCTGTCATTAACAATATTAACCGATTTTTAAATTATCTTATTTGTTTTTTTGTTTCTTGTAAAAAAAAAAAAAAAAAAAATCTTAACTTTTTGACAGTTTTTCTTTATTGCTATTCTATTTTGACAAAGAAAAATTATAAAAAACAGATGCCTCACGCTACCTAAAAACTTAATTTACGATTTATTAAAGATTTTCAAATTCATCTTGAAAATTGAGTTTAAAAATTTTTTTTTAAGTTTTTGAAACATCGCTTTCAGTGTCATCAACTGTCATCAACCATTTTAGGCACCTCCACTTTTTTGCTGAACAACATCAATCATGATGAAAAAAGGCCCCAAATTTAATAAAAATAAAGTTTTATCGTCAAAATGTTTATTATTAAGAGGAAAGACCAACGTATTTTTATTAAATTTTTAATAATTTCTAGCACGTTCAAAATTTTGGCTAAAAGTCTTGTTTTTAATTTTTGCGTCAGTGGTCGGCGTAATATTTTTACGATTAGCGCCTTTTTTTCCGGTTAAAAACGCATTGATTTATTTTAGAAATTCTTGCAAAAATCAAGTAATTGTCGGATTTTAATGAAACTTCAAACTTTTTTAAAAATCTTGGTAAAAATATTTTTTACACATGTTACCCCTCGTACACAAACACACACTTACTAAATTTCATGAAATTTCGAGAAATTAAATTTCAATCTCAAACAAAATTGTTTTTATTAGTTTTTTAGTTAAAAACAGGACTATTAGAAGAATTTATAAGTGAATCTTTTTTTTTTTTCTTCTTTCAGTTTGTTTCAGAGTATTTTGTTTACTGGAAATAGTAAATTTATAGTCATTTAGCTTTCAATTAAAGTTAAAAAAAAAAAAAAAAAAAAGCTTTAAGAATACCCTAATTTTTAAGTTTCTTTTTAGAAAAAAATTTTTTTGCTCTAACTTTTTATTTTATTCATTTTTAAATAGGTAAACAGAAACTTAAAGTAAACTTATAGAATGGCTTTGCTAAATCGGTTTTATTAACCAATTTTTCTTAAAGGATTGGTTATTAGGTAAATTTGCTTTTTAAGCCCCGCGCTAAATATCTATTAAAATTTTCCCAAATCGTCATATTTTCGTGTAAATGTACATGCTGAACTCGAAATAACAATTAAATTTTGATAAAACCTACTGCTTTGGAGTTATCGACAATAAAAGTTCGGACTCAGTCGCGTTCAGCCGTCGGCCATTACTGGCCTTGTTTTTAACTGCGAAACATTTTGTGCGCGGAAGTTTAATTAACCGCTTAATTTAATGGTTATTTCAAAATTTAATTGTTATTTCAAGTTCAGCATGTAAATTTACATGGAAATATGATGATTTGGGAAAATTTTAACAGATATTTAGCGCGGGGCTTAAAAAGCAAATTTACTGTTATTAATAATGATTTGATCGTTTAAAGTTTAAGCAAACCCCCACTGAGCTTAACTGTCTAAAAAGTAAAACTACCTGTTGCGATCTTCATCTGTACAAAAATATTCAACAGTTATTTGAAGTTTAATTAAATACGCCATTAATGGGGAACAAATTTTCCACGATTACAGAATCTGGGTTTTTAATGAAATATCACAAATTGTTTGTTTTTTTTTTTTTTTTTTTCAAAACTTAATTGTCTCTCAGATTTTGTTAAGAATTTTAATAAATATAGCCATAACATAACTTAAAGAAAAAAAAAGTGGGTAGTTGATTTTCTGAGAATATGTTGGCTTGTCTATTTTTAAATATTAAAACTTTTCTAAGAAACTGTATGTAGCAAATGAGATGGAAGACAGTTGTTTTGCTGTCGAAATTGGAGAGGGGAGAAAGACGAAAATCAAACCAATGAGTTTAACAAATTCATTTCCTTTAAGGCCTCACACAATTTACAAGTAAAAGATTCTAAACAACTTGTTTTATGAATATGAAAGAAAAGTAAAAGCTATCACGTGCCTACATGAAATAAAGAAAAAAAATTCTCCAAAAACACCATTCTATGAAACGACTGGCTTGTCTAAGCTTACCGTCACACAGCGATTCTCCTAGATTAATAATTGCATCATCTTCAGTACTTCACTATTGTAAACAAATTTAAATTGAACAAAAAAAATTCCTTTAATAATATTAACTATCAATGATTATTTTTTTCATATTTTATTTATATTTTGTAATCTAAGCCAGTTGTATGAATAAGCCACAAATTGCCAAGATGACTGAATAAAGTCAATATAGTGAATCCACTTCTAAAGTTAGGTCTGCTCCTCTAAAAAGAAAATGGCCCCAGTATCTAAAATTTGTGCTAAGGCCAGAATAGAGCAATTTCCTGATAACTTTTATGCTGAAGAAAATGTTATTTTGCAAATTGTCTCCATAGTGTGGACATATTTAGGGTTGACACAATCAAAGATCACATTCAAATCAAAAACCCATTTGACAAAAAAGTCTGCTCAACTGAAACGGAACAATCACAACTTTGTTGAAGAGTAACGAGGTATGAGATGATTTTGTCCTTGATTTTTTTCAAAATGTGCACTTTGATATTCCCCTACACAAAATTGATAAAATGAGGCCATTCATTGTAAAGAAGGTGGTGCTATTCCAAGTGTCAATTGTATTAGGTAACTTCATCTACCAAAATTGTTTGTTTCTCACTTTGTTGCCCTGAAAGCTAAGCTTACTAATCAGTCAGCATCATAACAGATGAAGCAACTATCATGACTACAGCATTTTGAATGTAATTGTAAGCATTCGTGGGGAGTCATTACTCATTAATGTTGTAACCTTGCAAGAATGCAATCATCAAAGTCAGGCATGAATTCAAACTGTAACTCATGTGGATATTGCATTTGAGGATATTATTGCATTTGTAACAGATTTTGCAGCCTATTGCAAAAAAAAAACTCATAAGGAAGTGTTGTCAAATGTCTTTGTTAACAGTTGCCATGTTTTGTGCTTAGCACATATTTTAAATCTTGTTGAAGTATTTTCACACTGGTCAGCTAATGTTACCCAGCTCACTACTTTCATCAAGTCAGCCTTTTTTAAAAAGCCTAGCTGGAAAAAGTGATACTTAAAATGGCTTGAAGTTTCCTTGCCCTAGGAACAAGTGAAACTACCCCCTGTACCAGTGGCAACCAGATAGAATTCCTGGTTTAATGCAAATATCATCCTTTGTACAGTTTTATGAAGGATTCTTTAAGCAAGAAAAGAGCCATGGCTTTGCAATAGATAGGATTCTAGAATTAGTAGATGATTGTCGAGTACATCATGCCTCTTTACCATAATTTGCACTTAAATCTGCATTTTATAAATGAGAACTGCACTCATTTAATAACAGTTATGACAAACTTAGAAGAAATTAAGTCTCCACTTGCATGTTGTATATAACGATAGAGGATGTAAAATAGTATTTGCTTATTGGTACATAAAACTCAACATTTGGCATAGAAACTGATTGTCTTCTGTCTGAACTAGAAGAGAGGGAGAAAGTTATCTCAAATTTCCAAGATTTTTTTTCAGCACATCTTTTTTGAAACTGTGAATTACCAAGATGATTTATCAAATCCTTTTAATATCTCATCATTTTGGAATGCAAATAAGAACAGATTTTCTCTTCTGGAACAGATTGCCAATAAGGTCATAGATACTGAATGTTCATTTTCTCAGTATGAACATTTACTCAATAAACAACATGAAAGTCTTACCCTCTGAGAACACCAATCAACTCACAGTGTATTAAAATGGATATTTAGAGAAGAGATTTGAAGATTAGATATTACCCAAATTAAGAAATTAGCAATTTTAAATTTGAGCAGTATTTCAACTTTGGTTAAGTTGTTTTATTTAAATTTTGAATTAATATCTAATTTGTTTTTTTTATATATTTTGTTACAAAGATTCAGTTGTTATGGTTTACTGTTTTGTAAAATTTTAGTTAAAATGTTTGACTTTATTCAGATATTTATTATTGTGATTTATTGTTATTTGTGGTTGATACTTTAAATGTGATTTTTATATTATGAATCAATTATAAATCAATCTAAATACTTAAACAAACAAAAACAATTTGAATGTGTTTTTAAAGAAGGAAGCTCTGATTAAAAGTTCTAGCTTAAAGATAATTATGCATTGTAACATTCCATTGTTTTATTGTCTAGTCATGTTATATTTTTTTATTTTTGGACTTGTATATTAACATTTAAAAAAAGATTTGTAAATATTTGCTATTTCTTTATATGCAATAAAACTTTGGATTACATTTTTGTTTTCAGTTTTAATAATTATAGCATATTGTATTGCAATTTTCTCATAAAATACTATAAAATGGAAAAAAAGGAAATTTCTCAGAAGTAAAAATGGAAAAGAATGGAATTTACCAAAAGTGGAAATGGAATCATGGAAAATCGGGGGAGGGGGGTCTAAATTAATCAGAGGTGGCCAAACTTCTTGCTTAATATGAGAGACATAAGTACATTTGTTGACCAGAAATTTTGGTAATTTTTTGTATGAAAATACTTTTTTTTTTTTTTTTTTTTTTTTTTTTTGTATTTCCAAAGATGCTCTTCTTAAAAAATAGGATATATGAGGAAAAAAGAACAAGATTTAAAAAAAAAAAAATTATTGTCAAAGCCTGTTGTGTTATTAATAAAATTAATTTAATAGGAAAGATCAAAGGATTTTTTTGATGTAAAAAATTTTTTATTTGGAAATTTTGGTTAAAAATATGTTAGGTACTTCCGGGGGC